TTGCTTTTCATCACTTTGAATATTTTGTGCCAATCCCTTCTGGCCTGCAGAGTTTTTCTGTTGAGTAATCAGCTGACAGTCTTATGAGAGCTTCCTTGCAGGTAACTAACTTCTTTTCTCTTGCTGCTTTTAAGACTCTCTTTGTATTTAACCTTTGGCATTTTAATTATGTTGTGTCTTGGGTTCATCTTGTTTGAGTCACTGAGCTTCCTGGGCTTGTTATGTTTATTCCTGAAGAAGGTGACTTTAAGTCAAAGTTTCTTTAAATAATAAACTCTGGGTATCTTTAGAAGAAATTGCTACTTAATTGGAAGAGTCTTATCCATTTTTAAAATAAGCATTTTAAATAGGTAACTGTCGTACATAGAGACATGCTCTGTCCCAGTGTTCTCTAGAAACCTTGTTATGATCAGGCAAAAAACAACGGATTGTTCCTATCACTGCTCCCACTGAGCTGGAGCTCAAGCAAGACCATGTTTGACTGTTGAGCATTGCTGATTGCTCAGCAGCCCTTTTGCTAGGCATTAGTACAGAGGAGGAAACAGGTACAGACAGGTTAGGGCTCCCTGAGGCCAAATGACTAGTAAATGGTAGAACCAGGATCAATCACTTTACTTTTAACCACTGTGCTATTGCCTCCCCTAAATGTAATGTTTTGTCTCATAAATCCTAATCCATCTCAGCCTCAAATATGAACTTTTCTGCGTCCCGGTATATCCATTTAGAATGATTCCCTTGCACTGAAGAAGAGGGGTCAGAACAGAGTCCAGTGGTTGGCAATGGGTGGCCTGTGGGTTTGTATGGGTTATGACTCGGAGACAGATACTTAATTAAGTCCTATGATTGCTTCTCTTTGAAATTGGATAGTCGTTCTTTTTTTGTTTGTTTGGTTGGTTTTTTTTTGAGTAATAGTTCTTGTCCATTGTCTACCAGAGGAAAACTTTTTGGGAGAGAGGGAACCTCCAGGAGACGAAGGGGGATTAACTAGATTTGTACTTTGCATCCGACATACCTATAAAGGGATTTGTACATCTACAAGGGATTATGGTTTTTTTGCCAGGTTTATAATTATGGTATTATGAGGATTGATGTTTTACATGGAACTTCTGAACCTTTAAAAATAGGGCAATGAGAGGAATAAATTTATTTGCTGAAGATGAATATAATGGGCTCATTAAGGGAATACATTTTTGTATTTTATAGTCCAAATAGAAAAAAAAGCTTTTGTATATAAATATAACCCAATAAAAATAAATCTGTGGAGTGGTTAAGGATATCATAATAGAGAATATTTTAACCATAGAAATGGCCCATCTGGACAAGTATGTTCCTTTTTTTTATTATTATTATTATTCTTAGTCAAATAATTTTTTTCATCAGTTCTTTTATTAGTCAGGAATGAATCTACTTGTCTCTTGAAATAGTTTTTTGCCTTTGTTATGATAGCTTTGAGCTTTGTCCTTCAATTTCTTCAACTGTAGGTAGTAAACATTATATCACATTGTAAATCTTCATTAATATGATTACAGGATATAATGTTCGGTTTCAAATGGGATGGAATGATTGAGAAGATGGAAAATAAAAAGCAGCACTGTATTAGTGGGATCTCTTTGGTCACAAGTAACAAATTCACTTGAGCTACCTTAAATAAAAATAATTATAATAAGGATACAGGTGTGTCTTAGGACCCCAAAGGCAAGGATGAAGTGGCCCTGGGGAATGAACAGGACATAGAGATGAGCGAGGAAACTCTCTTATCAGTGTTCACTACAAGCATATGTGTGATACAAATCCCTCTAAGAGAAGAAAGCTGGCAGAGACGGAAAGTAGAAATCTGTGCAGTATATCACTTTACACTTGAGCATAAGATTTAATAATAGCTCCATTGTCTTCTTTGTGAAATCATACTTATTACGTAAAATTCTAACAGTTATAAGCAAAGTAAAAATTGTCTAAACTTCTGATAATCAAAAATTCTCTAAATTTCTGATAACTATTTTGATAAGTGTCCTAGACATTTATTGGGACATCCAGGAACATGTCCACAGCTGTGCATGGTTTTTTAACCTGTTTTATTCACTCAGAAGTATATCATGGGTATTTTTTCATATCAGTAAATAGACTTTCATTATTTTCAGTGTCTGTGTAGTTTATTTAACACATGTCCTATTTGTGAACCTTTAGAGCATTTATTTTTTTCCCTTATAAATATAAGCAATGCTATGGATATACATCTTTCTGCCCACACAATTATCTACTTTGAATAACTTCTCAGAATTAGGATGGCCAAATCAGAGTATACTATTTTACATGCTGACGTAATTGCTACATCATGAGATATATCTATAATATTAGCTATTATCAGTCTTTTGTAAAGATGTCAATTTGACAGGTGAAAAATAATCTGAATTTTCTAAAGTTGTATTTTTTTATTTGTAGTATAGTCGAGTATCTTTTCATGTGTTTATTGCTATTCTGTTATGGAAAGTTTATTAATTTGCTTTGTCCATTTTGAGGGGAGAACTAATTTCCTTAGTCATTTTTAAAACATTTTTGCATCATAAAGGATAGTAACCTTTTATAAGTTTTATGTATAGTTCATGTAGTTTCTTATTTTATCTTTGACCAAAATAATGATGTTTGTTCTTTTTTAAATTTGTTTTTGCCATTCATATATTTAAGACTTAAAAAATGCAGCCAGCCAAATGTCTTAATTCTTTATAGTTTCAGATTTTGATGTTATGATGTCATATTTAAAAAGGCTGTTTCTATCCCTATATTATAAAACTATTAATCTGTATCTTCTTCTTGTATTCATTTGAGTCTTTTTTGAGGTTTTTATCCCCACAAGTAGAAAGAGATCTGGATTTTTTCTTCCTTCTAAATAGCAAACCAACACCATTTATTAATTAGACTCACGTACCTACCAAGATCTGATTACATGTGCTTGGTCTATTTCATATGGATACTTGATTCTATATCTGGTTGTTTATTCTGTTTCATTGATTGATATGAATGTTCTCACTCAGACTTCTGTTTATTAACTCTAGCTGGCTAATTTTGTTGATTTCTACAATTGATGATGATGCTTCTCTGCTTTAAATTTGGTATCCGTGAAATAAAGTGTTAAGTGATTAGTATTCAGTGCCTCAGAGATGAAGTAGGAACAGTTGCAGCAAGAGGTACTACTCACAGACATGTTAAAGGAACCAAGTAGGAAAACGAACAAGACAAGAACTCATGTAAACGAATATGCAGTTCCTGAGATTTTTGTTTTAAACAGTGGTGGGGGCAGGGAAGAGGATATATATATTTGGTCTTTGTTTAAATTCAGAGCCATTCAGCGTTCCTACCAGAGGGAAGAAAATGTGTTTTGCCTCTTTGCCAACAGTAACATAATTTTGGTCTTCGAAATAAGTGTCTTGGGACCTCAATTCCCTGTTGGTAAAAAAAATTCCCAGCCCATGCATTGCAGCGGAAATTCATTGTTTCCTGAGTTATTTCCTTTCATGCTTAGTGTGGGGAAAATGACCAAATGTATAGATTGAGTTTTTTTTTTTCTTCCAAAACCTGACGTCTGTAACATTACTTGATTCTGATAGTTTTTATTATGTTGTAGGTATTGCTGAAGGCTTCTCAGATGCTTCAGGATATCTTCAGGGAAATCAGCTCAATAAACTGAGAATTTAGGTGAGTCTTTTTTTAAAAAAATTTCATTCTTATCAATTGGCCACTCCCTTCCTCCCCGCATTGGAAAAATTTTTAAAAAGTGTTAAAACATCACTTACACTGTCTTGTTTGGTTTCAACCATGGTTCTATGAAGCAGGAGTGTACCTGCCTGGTCTTATTACTTCCATTTCAGTTTGATTTTCCACCTGATAGTTTAGTGGGTTGATGGTGGTGGCCTAGAAGAGGGGGTGAGTAGCTGGTTTTTTGCTTTATTGCATGAATTCTCATTCATTCACATTTGTTTGCTTCATAAACATATTTTAAAGTGCTGGATAAGGAATTAATGTAGAAACTTTTAGTAGTCTTTGCACTGGAACTGCTTTGTGGTTCCCAGAGCTCTCCAGGGATGGCACACAGTTGCTCTAGCAGGAGATAAAGTAAACTTTGGTTATAGATTATTGGTTTCCCCTTTGGTTATCCTGGTTGCGGCTGCATGATCTCAAGTGTGTATGAGATAACCAGTGTAGGGGAAAAGGCCATCTTCTGTAGATCTTGGGCATGCCTCGACTGAAGTCTGACAGATGAAAAAGGATTGGTTTATGCTCCTACTCTTAAAACCTGTATCGTGGCAAACCAGACGTATCAGTTCTGTTCTTGACCAGCTACACAACTAGAGATGGGTTAGTTAATCTCTGCTTGTCTCCATGGTCTTATTGTTAAATGTAGTGGCTGGTCCAGCCTAGTTGTTCTCACACTTTTAGATTATGTGAATAGGAAAAAGATTTTTTCAAGACCAATTTTTGCTCTGTTTTGGGGCTATATATAAACATAATTGGTAATTATTAAAGTTGGATGAGTATGTGAGGGCTCACTAAATATTTTATGCCATTTTATTTTGCATTTAGAATTTTCCATAATTAAAAGATTTATTTTCAAAATGTAACTACCATCCACTCACATCACTTTATGAGAAGAAATATTTTAATACTAAAATCGTAAATTGGTCTTTAGATTGTATATATTTAGCATTACGAAAATGCTTTTCATTTCCTGACTCTCATTTCTCTGCTGACAGGTGACTATTAGCCATCAATAAGTAAGCACTGGCCTGAGGACTTGGGAAATTTTGGGGTGTATGATTGTTAAGGGCTCTTCAGCCTCTGAAACTGTATCATTCCTCTGAAGCAAGAAAGAAATATACTCCAGTTATATATTGGCTCTTTCCAGAAAATGCCATGACAGCTAGCATGCGCAAATTAAGAGAGGTTAAAGGTCAAACAGAAGGCTAGGGATTGGTCTGTTGGGAAACTCAAATAAAAGTGGCTCATTCATGTGAATGTTAAATGTATCTGTGAGCCTGCCTGTGGTGTGGGGATGTTGAGAGCTAGGGGTGTGCCCGGTTAAATGTTTAACTCCAGGAGACCACTGCCAATACCAAGTACAAAGGAATGTAAGACTGGAGCGTAGGCGTTGAGGGCACAGCCAAGAATTCTTAGCTGAGGGCAGTGGGATCAGATATCCACAGGATATATGGCAGAGTAAAGGAGCTTTCCTGCTCTGGGATCCTCTGGGCGCCCTGGCATGGATGTAGTACTTCGAGGACCTGCAGAAGGTACTAAGTGGTCTGAGTTAGTTGAAGGACCTGGGCAGAGTGGACAGGAAGCACATCAGATACACACCTTTCCCACGTTTTCAGACCTAAAAGGAGTGTGCCAGGTGGATTCCTATGCTATGGGTCTGTATTGAATGGAGACTAGACTTACCATTTCCTTCTTCTTGGGGTATGGGGATGTATTATAAGGGGTAGGGTAGGTGGAGGACAGAGGAAATAATGGGCTGAATTATTAAGACAGTGAAATGATGTGAGGAAGGAACAGCAATATCACCTATTTCAAAATAATCCCGGCTGCTTCTGAAGTTCTGTGAAGTTATACCATGGTCTACATTGATTGGAATATGGTAGTTCAGTGCTGTAGACATCCTCCCTGGGTGATTTCTGGCTTTTGTTTGTTTTAACTTGCTTATATTCTGGGAAATACAAATTTGACAGACTTATCTGGTTGTTTTCCCTCTGTCAATCAACTCTAGGTTAACTGCCTGATTTATATGCTTCAGTTGGATTGCTCCAACCCGCAGGTTATTTATTTCACTGCTCTTTTTTTTTAGGAAGAAGCTATATCAAACAACAACAGAAATATTTGTCTTAAAAAATATAGGAATATGAGAGATTACCTGAAGTCTTAACATTTCCAAAAGTGTCTGAAGCCATGAATAAATGCTAGCAGAAGCTTTTATTTTGACATAAACCAGAGGAAGGAGAATTGCTTTAAGGGATGTGGGCCAGCCCAAGTCTGAATAAAATTTAATGAATGAACACTGTAATCAATCAGTCATGTTCTGAGCCTTTCAAAAGGCCAGATCATGCTGAGTGAGATCTTGTAGGGATGAACAATTAAAAATTTGAGACAGTCATGCTTCAGGGGAATAAACATAATGCTTTAAAGTGTTACGGGCCTGTCTATGACTGTGTATGTGTGTGTGCGTGTGTGTGTGTGTGAATGAGTAGATGAGGATGGGGGCATATGATAAATGATTTGTTTAGAATTTTACTTAATGACTCATAGTGTATTCCAGATTTGAGAATAAATGCAATATTCTGAACTTATCTCCATTTTCCCTGCAGGCTTGTAAAGAAAATATTTAAAAAACAATTTTAAATGAAAAACATTGTTTTTGGCTCTCTGGGAATTTTTAGTTCCCACTGCTGTTTAGGGAGGCCATTGAATCTGTAAAATTCAAAGCAGGATCTACGTAGCTATTTGTCATTCTGCATCAATCATTTAAGGCAATGACGTCAGTAAAAGATAAGTTGTTCCTCTGCTTTTCTTCATTAAAAATGTAATCCGTTATACACTTTTGTCTTCCTGCCATGCTCCATTAGCCGGATTCTTTGGATTACTCTGTTGGTTGACTAGGCACGGCCACGTGCCCCTCACTGCTGGCTCCCTGGGTGGCTGGGAGCCCTAATTACTATCATCTCCTTGATCAAGGTTCCAGGACGTATGCTGGGGTCTTTTCTCTGCTGCCTGTGCTTAGTAAATGTTTCAGAACAACAACAATTTCCAGATTTCTTTTCAGAACTGAATTTACTAATCTACGGGCATTGTAGAATGTGCTGTGTCTTTAAGCTTTTTGGCTAATTATGCTTATCAGTTAATTTCTTTTAATGCTAAGACGCCCTTCTAAAGAACTCAAGATTTGAGCCTTGTTTAAGAATTGATTGGATTTCATCGACTCAAAGGCTCTGGAATACTTGTGCCTGCATTTAACTATTCTACTATGGAGTGTGAATCTTTAAAAATCTTTTTTTTTTGGTCATGAAGTCCCATTTTCTGAAGACCTAGAATGATCATCAAAGCCATTCTCTTCTGTTTACAACAAATCAGAATCGGACAGCTTTCTAGAACCATGAAATGACTAGTGTACTTGTAGAGTTTAAATGGGACTTTATTAAGATTAAACACACTGTAAGGTCAGCTGCAATGGTCTCAACGCACCACCGTGAGGCCTAGTAAAAAGTTGAGTAGAATCCTACTGCTATGATCTAAACAATGGTTTTATAGAGGATCTTCTATTTTAAAAAATTTCAGTCGAAGTAATATATGCAAATGGCTAAAAATTAGAAAACATTACAGAACAGCTTATAATGAAAAGCAACATGTGTTACTCTACCTCCTTCACTTAGTCTTGCTTCTCAAAGCAACTACCTTTTTTTTTTTTCCTGTAGGTCATCTTTGTTGCTGTTGTGGAGATTTCCACATGTATAAATATTCTTGCATCACCATTTATCACTTTATTGGTTTTAAGGGCGATGTCTCGATACCTTGTTGTGATCGCTGATTAGCTAGCTCTGACCATCCTCGACTTCCTTCCTCCCAGCACGGACTCATGCTTTTACTCCTTTCATTTGTCCCTCAGATGACATATGCAGCCTCTTCTTGTTCTGTGTCCTAGAAACACTATTTCTTGTCTGCCATCCTCTCCATTTTGGGCAGCTGTACCGTTAGTTTTATATACGCATAGTCAGTAATATTTACATTCTGTACTTTAACTCAGTAAGAGCTTCCATAATTTACCTATCACTTGATTTTGAATGTTAAAACCAAGAAGCAGCATTTAATCTGTTACAATTAGGTAGCTGCAGTTCACCTGGCAGCCAAATTGTGTGGTGGGATTACATTCCTTCCTCTCTGAGCCTGATATCCTCACACTTTGGCCTCTCCGTGGAGCATGTTTGAATGGATTCTCCTTTTCACAGGCACCAGGTGTCTTGAATACAGCCTCAAGTTCTCCTAAACTGTCTTCCCATGTTTCTTAGGAATGTGCTTTATTTTTGAAGTTCTCACCCCCACAGTCCCCTATCCTCTACCTTCAGCCAGAATAATTTGATCTGAATGTGTGCCGTCCGTCTCTAAGTAAGTGCTGATGGCCAGGAAAAGCTTGTTACTACTGTTGGAAGAATAGCTTCAGGCTCTGATGTCTCTGAGGGGCAGCAGCCTGATCTTTGAAATTACCCCTCATTTACTGAGGACCTGATATGTTAGGCACCTCTGTACTTAAGGCCTGATGTCTGTTGAAATTCGCACACCAGCCCCATGGAACAGATGTTGTTGTTGACGTTTCGTACACCAAACGTTGAGATCTATATGAGAGGCCTCCAAGGCCTCTACTGGGAAGTGCTTCTTAGATCCCGGCGGGGGCTGGGGGCATGGTGTCAACTATGGTCTCATAGGTCATAAAAGACTTCTGTCTCCAGAAGGTCTTACACATTTTTCTCAACAGACTTCCATCCTCCTCCAGAAAACTGCTGCTGCCTAGGACAACTAGCTCTGCTTGATTCCCAGCCTCATCCTTGCTGTGGCTGCGCCATGTGGCCAGGAGCTCATTTTATAGAATTCTGTGACTGGCAGCAGCAGTATCCTTACCCACTTAATGTTCCCTTTGTGAATTTGGAGTGAGA